TATATATACTTTTTATTCTACCCGACACCACCATCGTAGACCCAAAAAAAACACAAAAGCTTCACTCAACAAGGAGTTATAGTGATCTCTTCCTCACTTTCTCACTTAGTCTGCTATTCTTTGGGAAATAAACTAGGATGAATGTAAATAAATTCTATGGCACTCATCCTTTACTATATAATACATACATACCATGGTTGTTAAAATTGTGATTCTAACTCGTGGAAACGTGCGATTTTGCGATCCAAATGCCCAAATTGATCCGAATCGTAGAAAAATTGTGGCTTGAGCAAAATCGTGAGTTGAATCGCCAGGATCATGCATAGAATCGTGGAATCGTACGATTCTATACGATCCCAACGATTCTAAATTATTAATGATTGTGGTCTTGTTTTGGGTTTAAGAGTTGTGAAAAACCCTAAATCGATTACCACAGTGCAACAATTCCTTCTCTTTCGCGGCCTCTAGCACAACTCCGAGAAGAAATAAGATGTAGAGGACAAAAAAGAATGCTAGGGTTTTGGGGAAGAAGAAGCAGAAAAGGAGGAGAGAGGGAACAAGAGGCTAAGAGAGCTTACCTGAAAAAGATGAGAGGAGCTGCCGCCGGAAATTGCAACAGGGGAAGGTTAGTTGGGAATTTTGCTCTCTTTGTCTGCCGCTACCGCTCTCGCTGGGGAATTTTGCTCCCTTCAGATAGGCAAGTTAAACTAGGTCAAACTTGCCTAAAAAAGATTGGTCTTGGGCCTTATACTTTTCTTGTGTTCTAATTGTTCTATTGTACAGCTGGGCCATGCGATTTGCAAACTTTAAGTTTTTGAAACCCAATGTAATATTTATATTTATATAAAATTTGTCTTACATTCCAAAAACTAAATAAATGAATAAAATTTTAAAAGAATCTGTTGATAATTTTATATGAACTTATTCTTTTATATATATTATATATAATATAATATAATATAATATATATGTGTGTGTGTGTGTGTGTGTGTGTTTTGGTTCATTTTTTTATTTATTTTGAAGATAATTTTTGTTGAAAGAGTTAGTTTTAATTGTATTTTTATTAGTTTGGTAGAATCGTACGATTTACGATTCGATTCTACGATTCCGATTCTACGGAATCCAAAATGATTCTAGATAGAATCTCAATTTTAACAACAACAAACAAACTCTCTCAATTTAAAAAGATAAGTCTTTACATTTCAAAATATCTCAATCCCCTTTCCCTCTCTTTCTATTCTATTACAATTGTTCTAGAAGCTTCTTCTTCAGTTCTCCATGTTGGACTGATCCTTTGGGCTTATCTTGGATATTAGCCTATTTTTTTTGCTCTTGAGATTGGGCTTCAGGATTGTTTTAGTGGATATTGGACATGATAAGTGGTCATCCGATCGGATTAAGCATTCTTCCCAGATCCAATTCTTAGTAATTTGGGTCGTGCCCCGCCCAAGCCATTTTCCGTATCTTCAATATATATTTAAATCATCTGAAGCTTCATCAATTATTTCAAATCAACCTTAAATAAAAAATAAAAAACCTCATTCATGCACGTGTGATTTTTTGGCTTTTGGGTTGATGCATTTTTGGTATTGTATATTGCTTAGTCATTGCCCATTTGTTTTATTGTTGATTTCCATTTAAGAATCAAGAGCTTGAGTCATGTATATACTGTGTATGTATATATATATATATGTATATATGGGTTTAGAAGGTTTTTGGTTCCCATTTTTGAGGTTTTTGCTTTAAAATCAAATTATTAGTTGATTTTGGTTGCATTAAATAATTTTTTTGAAGCCAAACATGGGTTTATTTGATTAAAGAACAAGTTGAGTCAGATTGATCATGTGTGTCCCTGTTGTGTTTTTGCTTTTTGTTTTATTCGGATCGATCATATTTGTGTGTATATTATGGGTTCTTTGAATTTGTTTTTTTTTTATATTCATTTTTATTTTATTTTATTTTATTTTATTTTATTTTTTATTTTTTATTTTTTTGTGAATTTTGATTCAAACATGCATTATTTGATGCCCTAACGTGATTTTATTGGATTTGAATGGGGATTGGGGTGAATTTCTCATGCATTGTGTTTTGCATTCTTTGTATTACCCAAAGGCGTCAAAACAATAATTAAAAATTTCCAATTTTCCAAATCAAATGCCCCCCACATGTGTTATTGGTTAATTTGTCATTGGTTAAAATCTCTTACTCTTTCATGCTTAATTACATCAGTTTTTTTGTTTTTTTTTTGTGTCATTGGTTAAATATTTTTTCCTGAATGGGTTATTGGTTAATTTGGATTGTTCAAAAAATTAATTATTCAAAGTAGATTCAAAATAGTGTCCAATAGCCTATAGTAAAAGTCAGTTATGTGGACTTTGTCTTAGTACACATCACAAAAAGGCATAAGGGTGACTTAGTTTGTTTTTTACAGATTGGCTCTAAAGAATATTGAAGTGAAAGTAGTGAATTTTTAGCGAGTAAAAAATCATGTCCATACAAACTTTTACTATTAAACCTTTTATATTTTACAGTAAATAAATATAGCCATGTTAGTGATAATTAAAAATGCCAATGACATCGCTTTACAGGGTTCTTCAATCATTTGGTTCAATGTAAAATAAAGATACTAAGAATTCAATGTAAAAGTAATATGATTAGTTTTGTTTTACAAAGTAAATATTGTTGATTTTTCAAAGTTTAGTTTGCCAGTGATAAATTTTAATAGTATTCTATCTTTTTTATTTATACCTCTTTTTTTTTTTTTTTTTTTTTTTTAATGAGTTGAGTTATCTTCTTGGTATTCTTATTTTCTATTTATATTTTTTCTTTCATATAGCTTATTTTGAAAATTAGCTTTGGGTTCATTTTTTTGACATAGACACTAATTGTATTTATTCATTGTTGGTTTTGCAGATTGTTGGATGAGCTCATGCTATAAGAATTCAAGGTTTTTTTGTTTAATACGGTTTAAGTAGTTTATGTCTAGATCTTTGAACCCTTTGTTTAGGATTCTATACTTCATTTTTGTCTAAGATCTCATAGTATTCTATTTAGCATACTAGCTTGTATTTTTTTTTTTTTTTTTGTCCAAATTATTGGAGTTGAAACTATTTCAGATGGTAAGACTCCTTTTATTTATTTATTTATTCACAACGGGCTTTATTGCGTATGTTGTAAATATTACTTTTTTTGGTTGGTGTGGCTTATGCAATATTGAATATTTATTTGTTTGCATAATCATTTTGACGTGTGATTAAATTTTATTTTTGATTTTGTTTATTTTGTTTATAATGTTAATAATTTATAGATTACAATATTATAATTATTTCCATTAAATGTTATTAATATATATAAATGAAAAATAATAATATATTGAAAAACAGCCTGAATCTTTGAAACTGAAACTCCAAACCTGTGAACCCTCGAACCCCTGAATCCCAAACTATGGATTGCTCCTGTCCACCATACAAATTCCATTTAAAACGAATGGTCAGTGGCTAGTCATTTTACGTGTTTAACAAAACTACCGAGAAAATTTTAGGACCAAAACAGTTTCAGCAAAGGCAAATATAAGTTTTTTTTTTTTCTCTCTCTCTCTCTCTCTCTCTCTCTCTCTCTCTCTCTCTGTGATGACAATAAGAAATGGCATCTCAACCAAAGAAAACAATCCTAGGCAAAGGCATACGACAAACACCAAACAGAAAAAAAAGCATGAGATATGGGTACAAAGACCCTACACCCATAAAAGCATTCCACTTCCCAGCCCAAACTAAGACCCATAGTCAGTTGGTCCTTTTTAATTGTAGGCCACATATATGGGCTTAAAGTTTGACCAAACTGAACAACAACCCCCGTTAAGAGACCCAGCATTTTAATCAGGTATTTGACATTATATTGATCTATAAGTTGTGTCCCAATGATCTAGAAAAAATTGCCCTTGCATTTTCTTACGTGGCAATAAAGGAAACTTTGACCCCGGAGCCAAAAGCGGACCCCACATTGTACAATGTGAGAAACAAGGGGGACCTTGGAATGCACGACGACCAAACGGAGGGAATTGACCAATCGCCGGCAAACCACCATCATTTTTAGACTCGTCTGTAGCAACAAAACACCACCAAGAATAGAAAGTAGCAGAAAACCTATGCACCGAATGATTTCTAGCCTCACAGATCTTTCCGGTGACAACCAACCACGACCCATAGTCAATGGCGGCCGGAGGAAAGACATCGCTAAAGCAAGAGAAAGGAACAACAAACCTGCCACAAGAACTCGTCCAACACGCAACAACCCTAAACGCGAGGCTTGTGGACGTGAGAGAAACACCGGCACATAAGACCAAGAAAACGACGCACCACAAGAAACAAAAAATCCATTCCCAAATAGCGTACCCCCCAATAGATAAATACTTGCAACAACCAACCATAACCCAGAAGCCGTGGCCACAAATGAAAACTCGGTGCTTATAAGCGATTGGCCAAAACGAGTTATAACTAAAATAGAAGCTAATAAAGCCAACCCAATGCCTGGATCAAAAGGGAAAAATAGTGGAGATTGGCCAATAAGCCATCCACCATTCAATACACTCGATCCAACAACCCATAGGACCCAAAATTCCATCTGATTTATGACCGACCACATAAACGTTTTCCTGAATTGAGTAGGGAATCCATCCCATAGAAACACACCAACTTGGAGAAACACTAACTCAGATGAACAGAGCACCTCTACTAAGAGAGGAACGCAGAACTCCGATGAACGGAGAGGCAAAGGGAAATGTAAGTGACAAAATGAAAATAGCAACATATAACACCACAAAATTAAGCAAATAAAAATATAATCAAGCTAGCTAGGGAAAGAGAAAATGTTGCATATATGTGTGCATATACAATAGAAGTTGCAGAATCTCTCGTCTCAAGGATTCATATGATTTTGGGTTTGCATGTTTCTAATCAGCAATAGAGTCTAAATGGTCATCATTCTCGCATAATACAATAACAAGCAAAAAGAAGAAAAACTAATACCGTCATGGTAAAGCCGGCCTTGCAGCCAATACAAATTGTCAATGATTCAGACATGAAGGCAGGTATGAATTCATATCTCGTCTACTTCGACTTGTACCTAAAACTATGACAAGACTTACCAGAGGTAAATTACAAATAGATAGTGAAATGGATTAAGATTACATCATGAGAAATCTGCCTCGGTTCCAAGTAATTTAACAACATGAATACAACTAAGGTTTATCATTATCATGATTCCACATTCTCCCTAATACAAGATGCAAGTCTTCGCAAAGATAGTTCATCAAATAAATCATCTCTTTCTCTAATTTTTGACACAAAATCCATGGCTCCTTCGTATTTCTTTGCTTTACAATAACCATCCACAACAGTCTTGTAGGTTAGCTCATTCGGTCTGCAGTTGTGCTGAATCATATAACTGATCACATCATTTACTTCTGTGAAAAATCCCTGCCCTGCATAGCCTGCTACAAATGTATTATAGGTGATAATGCATGGCCGAATCCCTCTAGCTGTCATCTCTGAGAGAGTTCGTATAGCCTCCTGCATGAAACCTCGCCTGCAGAATGCTTTGATGACAGTGTTGTAAGACACAAGGTCTGGTTTTCCACCAGATATGTGTAGTCCCTTGAGGATTTCTTCTGCTTTCCAGCACTCTCCCGCTCTGGCATACATGTCCATCAAGCTGTTGTAGGTGACAAGATCAGGCTGCAATCCACTTTCATGAATCAAGTGCAACATCTCATGGGCACGGTCGTACATCTTATTCCTCACAAAAATTGAAAGCATGGAATTGAATAAAACCAAATCAGGTTTATATCCATTCTTCTGCAATTCTTCAAATGCTCTTTCCATACCCATCAGTGACCTACACTTGAAATTTACAAGAACTAAGGTTCTTAAAAGCATCCAACTAGGAAAGATATGACCATCATAAATTTCACCTGCAATCCCTTCTATCCCCTGCACATTTCCTCCTTTTGCATAACAATGGAGCATCAAAGAGTACGAGGTTTCACTAGGCTTGAAGCCCTTGTTCCTCATGTCTAAAATAACTGATTCTGCTCCCTTCCAATCCCCTCGTCGAGCCAATGCATTTAGAAGTGAATTGTAAGTTGTAACACATGGAATAAATCCTGCTTTAATCATCTCATCATACATTTTTGTAGCATCAACCATAGTTCCACACCTACCGTAAGCATTTATCAAAGTATTAAATGTGTCTCTATCAGGCTCAAAACCACAACTCTTCATCTCACGAAATACCCGGTTCACATATTTGTGCATTCCTCTATTGCCACACATGGCAAGCATTGTATTCCAAGTAATACGATTTGGGGAACATCCATTTGATTTCATATCACACAGAATTTCCATCATCTCTCCAGATTGTGACTTTTTCCCTAGCATCCCAAGGATGACATTGTACGTACACACATTAGGAACACAACCCGATTTCTTCATCTGGTTGAACAAAGTCAAAGCCTTATCCTCCTTTCCAGCTTTGCCATAGGCATCTATAAGGGTAGTATATGTAATGGCATTTGGCATTATACCCTTACGAGTCATTGTTTCTATGACTTCTGCTCCTTCCTCCTGGAATCCTGCCCTCGCATATGCTGCCACAAGCTCATTGTAAGTTACTGAGTCAGGGGGGCAGTTGTTTTCCTCCATTTCTTTCAACACGCTTAAGGCTTCCGTGTACATCCCTACCTTCCCAAAAACTTGGAGTAGTGAATTGTAAGTAAATGTTCCAGGTTCATAGCCCCGAGACTTCAACTCAGTAAAGAACCTTTTTGCTTCTTCGAATAACCCCTCCCTGCCACAAGCAGATATCACGGTGCTGCAAGTAAACTCATCAAACTCAAGTCTTTTGCTTCTCATCTCATCCAAAAGACTTAAAATTTTATTCCAAGAACGACCCATCTTCCCATAAACATCCAGCATGACATTATAAGTGACCAAAGTTGGAGCGATTCCCTTCTCATTGATAAGTTGAAACAGTGTAATTGCCCGCTCATACTTCCCAGTACGAGAATATGCATGAAGAATTGTTGTGTATGCTCGGACATCAAGACAGTGGTCCTCAACGGAAATTACATCGAACAACCTCGATGCAATGGAATGCTGTGACTCTCTCCCAAGAATTCTAACCATTAATTCAATAACCTGATCGTCTAATTTGTTATTTTGAGAGTTTAAATTCAAGACAACCCACTCAAACAAAAAAAGGGCTTTTTTCCAATTCCCTGATAGATCTAAACCTTTCAAGAGACTGACCAAATCAACTTCAAGTAAGTCGAACTTTACAGAATCGAAGAAAGCATTCAAATTAGATATAGGCTGTTGAACAATAGAATTAAGCATGAACTTACAAGTTATGGGTAGAAAATCAAGGGCGTCACCGGTTGATTGAACAACCTCTCCTCCGTTATTTGCAATAATTGGAAATGAAACTGAAGTGGATTTGTTGAGGTGGGTCCCATGTATTTGTTGTTGCTCTTGACAATCCAAAGAAATGTGTAGAGAACCGGTCTGAGCCGATTTGATGGGCTTTGGTTTGTGATTGGCGTTAGGAGGCGGTGAAGAGAGGTGGAGGAGATGTTGGAGAAGAGGGTCGAAAGGGAAAGAGGGAAGGGACGGGGGATGAGGAGGGAGAGGCAGAGTTGTTGGGTTGAATTTCAAGCGTGGGTTTGATTGTGTTTGTTTGGTTTGTGGGATTGGAAATGCTGGCCTGTTAGGGAAAAGAGTCCCTTCCATTGTGGGGAGAGAGATGGCAAGAGACTGGAGAGAGATGTCAAGAGATTAAAGAGGTTGGATTTGGATGGCAGTGAGAGAGCTGCAGGAAGAAGAGAGAGGGAGATGATTGGTGTTCTATTTTGGATGAGTTACAGCAGCGTCATACAAATGGGCATGGAGAGACTCGCACAATCGCTAACTTGTGATCCTCTCCCCTCCACAGCTTGCGATACGGCAAGGATAGTCTGCTGTAGCCCCCGGCTGTAGCGCAAAACGGCGTCACTTTGAATTTTTTAATGCTACCCACATTTCATTAAGCAACTTCACTGTTTTGTAAATAATATGAATATAGTATAATTAAATAATACAAAACAGTAAGTTAACCCCAAAGAGAGACCTTAGAGTATCTCTAATGCTAAAATGCTAAGTTCGGATGCCAAATCTATATTTTGACACTGCTACAGTGTCAAAATGTTACATTTTAGCAATTCTGCTCCAATGATGCATTTTATGCAAAATGTTATTTTTTGACACAATCACTATTCTTTTTCAACTACCATTCCCACCATTCATATTTGCATCAGTAATGTTAATATTAGGCATATTCCAAGTCAAGTTGTAAATATTAGAAGAAAACTAAAATTAAACTTAATTAGAAAGAATCAAAAATCTAAAATATCTGGTAAAAAAAGGACCAATATATATATATATATATATATATATATATACATATATGTGTATAAATTTATATATTTGTTTGTATTATTATATAAATTATATATATATATGTATATTATATATATTTGATTATAATATTATTAAATATATATATACATATATTTAGGGCAAATCATTTCAGCCTCCTAAATCGCTATATATATTTTTAGGGCAAATCATTTCAGCCTCCCCAATCACCTCTATCTCTATTCTCGTTCTCAACTCTGAAATTGCACCATCTCTCTCACTCTCTCTCTTTCTGCAACTGCAAACTACAAAATCAACAAGAATCAAAAGTTCAAAACCCATATCTTTCAGTTTCCATCGCCTGTTGTTTCAGCTCGGGTTCGCCGTTCGCAAGCTTCAACCGCTATCTCTCAACTCTTAAGCTTGCCCTCTCTCTCTCTCTCTCTGCAACTATTAACTTGTATGCATGGGTTTTGTTTTAATTTTTTTTCTAAATCAACTAATCAAGGTCTGTAATTCTTGTTTTGCAAACTAAATCTTATTTGGTGAAATTTTTTATGATCTTTTTTAAATATATGTATCTATATATATATATATATATATATATATATATAAACCCATATCGGCATATCTTTTCAGATTGTTCAAAAAATCAAAACCCATATCTTTCAGTTTCCATTGCCCTCTCTCTCTCTCTCTCTCTCCTGCTTTTTCTGAAATAGTAGTAGCTATTTCTTGTGCTAAAAGTGGCATAAATTTTGGCAGCCCATATAGTGTTGCATTGGAGAACCTATTTTTACCATCTCTTGCTATATTTTAGAAATGGCAGCACATATAACAATGGATTGGAGATGCTCTTACGACTCCAATTGAACATGATAATATCTCTAACACTTCTTGCCTTTAAATAATAATACTAAGAATAATAATAATATGACATCTGATTAAAATAATAATAAACTAATATGACATGTGATTAAAATAATAATAAATTAATTTCAAGTTGACAATATAATTAAATTAAATAATAGGAATTTTTACATAAAAATGGGCTTAAGGCCTCATATTTACTCATTGATTGAGTCAAAGTTTGATAATTTCAAAAAAATGAATTTAACCCAAAAGATGACTTGGCACATGAAGATTTACTATTTCAAATTTGTGTTGCCTAAAATACTCTTTTTAATATTGAGTACATTTACCTAATTTAGATGAAATGGACACTTTGAGTTTCATGCATTTTCACCCTTTTTGCAAAATCTGAACTTAAGGACATTTTGGGTATTTCACTTCAAAAATAAGGATTTCTTTTGACATGGTCATATAGAAAATATGATTTTAAGGGAAGGGGGGGTAGGTACTTCACAAACATTTTCCACATCTTTACATAGTTTTCAAGGTTACAAAAAATTGCATTTTTAAAATTAGGCCATTTTCACTATTCACCAGCAAGTTAGCTTTTTGGCGATTGGTTGCCGCTTATCATGGGGTGCTCCTTTGCATTTTTTTTTTTTTTTTAATTTTTTGTTTCAAAACTTCGGAATTCAATATCCTTGTCATCCGAATACCAAATTAAATGATTCTTGAGTCTAACCTTGTTAATTTTTCATTGTCTTTCCAATGGTTTACACAGTAGCACCCATATCCATTTTGAAAATATCATTTTATCCCTAGGGTTGTACTTACCCGTTTTTAAAACTTCATTTCTGTTTTTGTTCTCTTTGAATTCTATGACTTCATGGAAAGTCACTTTGGCATCTTAGGGATGACATATGTCCCCAAGATTTGTTATTGGGTCAACTTTTGGATCATCACAAGACGCACCGGGTTTGTAAAACCAAGGCCGTCACAGGGTTAGTTAATAGTGTAATTTAATGATCTAATAAACCTAGAGGAGTGAACAAGTATTATTGCTCAATTTTTATGGCATTAATTTTTCAAATTAATAAATGATTACAATCTACATCAATCACAAGCAATCAATAAAGTTTAGCAAAAGACCTAGTCACTCAAGGGTTTAAAGAAGAAATTTGGTTGATAAAGACCAAAACCAGCTCCATGCTCTCAACACAACCACAAATAATTATCAGTAGCTAGGAGGCACGGACATTTTTACAGGTCGATATTTAGAAAGTATGGATATTTCTATTAGAGTGCGGTGGCAGTATCGGATATGAGCACTTTTCGAATATGCGGATACGGCTCGGACATACGGCAATCAGTATCCTGAATGGTAAAAATTTTATTTTCTGGTCATACACGACAATTATATGTTTTAGACACTCTCAGAATACGACCAGAAAATTTAATAATTATTTTATAAAAAAATAAAATGCAATGCAATCTAAAATATATTATGAGTTAATTAAATAATATAAAATTTTGAAAAACAAAAATAAAAACCATCTAATTCTAAATTCCAAACTAATGATTTATTTATGATAAAAATGGCACAAAATATATATTATATATATATATATATATATTATATTATATTTTTTGACGTATCCATGCCATACCTATATATTTTTTTTTTTAGATCTTCCATATCATCGTGTCCGTATTGTGTCGTACTCGTATCCCGTATCCATATCCGTGTTTCATAGGTCGATACCATGGTAGTGTTAGATACACGTAGGACACTTCTCGAACACGTGTCTTACATGGCTAGAAGTGTAAGAGAATCTGAATTTGAAAGGGTCTCAGCATCCACAACAAAACATTCTATTTACCTGGCCTAGCAACCAAAACATAACTTTGGAATGGAATTTGTAAACACACAAATATTATTCTCATACCTTTTGAGGAGGGGAGCTCATACAAACCAAGGAAGAGGGTTGGTGGTAGCTTATTACATAAAATAAAATAAAATAACCTCAAGCCATTCCTAAACTGAAGAAATGCAATAGTCCAATAGCTAAACATTAATTAATTAATGTTCATGCAAGTAAGTAAATCAAACTCCATGCAAACACTATAGCAGCAAATCCATTCTGATCGATCATACAGGTATGGGATCGATGAATACTGAGATGATGTGATCTGTCCATACTTTTTCTGGATGAGTGTATCCATCAGTTTTCTTGTAAAAAACATCCATTACCCTTGAAAGGTTGACAAGTCTCTTTAGGAGATGCTTCGAAACATAGTTTGGCCTGAGGATTTCCTCATTGATATCTTTCCATGCATCTTCAATCATTGTATTGAACACATCAACTACCTTTTCTTTTGACATCTTGCCAGGATGCTACCTCATGTAGCATAAAATACCTGTAGTAACATGTCCCGTCTTTAGATCTTCCTACAAAGAATATTAAAGATTAATTATAACTGTTATAAACGATGTTTTCATTATAACATCTCTATTATATTTACCATAAAAACAAAAAAATTGTATCTAAACAAGTGGTATGCTTTAGAAGGTACGTAGTATTATATAAATGCATATATGTTAGAGTTACACTACATAATCAACCGAATTTGATTCCAGTTGTTGTGGCGGAAACGCAAAATAACAACGCACGTTGTTCAAGGAATAATCAAGCAATCACAAAGAAAAAAAAAATCACACACAAGAACACAAGATATACACGGTTCACCCAAATCTTAAGACTACGTCCATGGAGCACACCGAACAAATTCACTATGAAAAAGATGAAGAATTACAAGGAGAATTCTCTCTCAATCACTCTCAACTGATCTCTCTTGTATTGGCACACATTTTTCTCTAACTTTCTCACCCTATTTATATAGTCCCCAAACTTGTCCTATAAGAATTTGCCTTTTGTAGAATCCAAAACCAATAAGGAAGTTAAATCAAATTAGGAAACTGAATTTTCCTTAAACCAATAAGGAAGTCAAATCAGATTAGAAATCTGAATTTTCCCTAATAGATTAGGAAACTGAATTTTCCCTGAATTCAGTACTCTTAAAGTTTCTATATAATTAAATCTTCCTAAAAATCTTCCACCTAATCAGACTCTACAAACCACAACAATCTCCCACTTGGAGTCTGGAGCACTTGTAAACCCATTCCATCTTCTTCTCATGCATGTCCCATACATGTCGGTGCGCTTCTTTCTGTCTTCAAGCTAGAAGACCAACTGAAGTTGCGTACAACTTCAGTTTCTCTATGGTCACTGTCTTGGTGAACATGTCAGCCGGATTCTTAGTGCCAAGTATTTTCTCAAGTGTCAACACCCCATCTTCTAACAAAGATCTGATAAAGTGATACCGAAGTCTTATATGCTTGGTCCTTGAATGAAATGCTGAATTCTTTGCCAGATGTATCGCACTATAACTATCATTGTGCAAAACATTCTTCACCTGTTTGAATCCCAACCCTGTTCACAAACCTTGTAACCAAATCATCTCCTTGCTGGCCTCTGGCATCGCCACATACTCTGCCTCTGTAGTAGATAACGCTACAATCCTCTATATTTGCGAAACCTAACTAACTGCAGTTGTACCCACCATGAACACATACCCGGTAGTACTTTTTCTGTGATCTACCTCACCAGCAAAGTCTA